CAAGAAAGTGAGCAGGAGAATAAGACTAACTTGTATTCCAGCTTTCATCCACAAAACGTACAGTCAATTCACTATGCAGTATATTCTGTGAAGCGCTTTGGGATGCCTAGCAGGCTTGATAAGGTGCTATTTCAAATGCACAGACTTTTATTATTGTGGCAACTTGGCTCAGTTAGTAGCATTCTTGCTTTTGAGATCCTTTTGTGCTCCCAGCGCTTTGGGACGTCCTCCCGATGTAAAAGGTGCTCTACAAATGTAATTTTGTTGTTGTTGCTCCAACTAACTCACCATGGATTGGATGGTCTTTCTGCACTGTGACACCAAAGCAAGAGAAAAAATTCCTTCGCAGAAAAATTACCTTGTTATAATATGATGCAGAGTTTAAGACAACTATATAATAAAATACTTAACCTTTTTATTGAACCAACAAGAGATGAAAGCACAAGATTTGAGCCACAATTGTCCTGGTTTTTCAAGAAATCCTAAAAGAGTTTACTATATGAAGGTTGATTTAACATGTTAGACGAGTAATATGCAGATCGGCTGAACTCTTGAGAAAACAGTTTTATAATCAAAAGAAAAACATTACAGGTAACACCCTTCCTCTTCCTGTCTGTCTTTCTGGGTTTCAGCAGAGAACAGAATAATCTCTGCATTAGCGACTTAATAGTTTCCTATAGTTTATTTTTAGACAATCACATCTAGCCTCCCAAAATAAGTTTGTATTATGCGGAAAGCATTATTGTATTAATATACTGCAATGGACATTTAAAAATCTTAGTATTTCATTTCCCGGTCCAAAAATTAGGATATAAAATTGACTTCAGGTTCTGGGATTTATTCTGTTTTCAGCATACATTTTGTGATGAAAGCCATCAGCTCTTCCAAGATACATAAAGGATTGACCTAAAATTTTTCAAAGCTTCACTGTTATGCTGCTTATGATCAGAAACCTGGCAGCACTTCAACCGAAATGTGATGTACATTGAATCTGCTTGACCTCATTGCTCTGAGTCAGAAGATTGTGGGTTCAAGCCTCATGTTGGGACTTTGAGCTCATAGTGTTAACACTCCCAATACCCAATCCGTGCTGGGGAATGCTGCATTGTTAGAGGTGATATGTTGAGAGGAATGATAATAGATTCAAGCACTGGGCCAATGCAAGTGGAAATTGCACATCCTCATTCCCTTTCCCAACACTAATGTCATATAATGACCAAAACAATGACATTTAGTGTATTAAATGCAGAATTACAAGTTAGAAATGTTATGTACACATAATTAATGCTGTGGGTCCCATAAAATTCTAAGTATTCAGTGCACAGTGCGATTTCGTGAATCCGAGTATTACTGAAAATTTGTAATGAAGAGACTAATTTAATTAATATCTTTCTGTTGAATTTTTTGTACCTTCAGTGGACTGAATTCATGAATTTATTTGAAGACTGGATTTCTCTTTGGAAAAGATTGGAAATGGTCTTATTAAAGAGTATACATTGTACATTTTAATTTAGTATCCAGACTACAAACGGAAACAAGGGGTTCAAAGATTGATCTGAGGTAGCATTGTTGTGAATTTTGATGTGTTTGACTAATTGTTTCTAAGCTAATGTATTTTGCAAGCTATGACAAAGCTAGAGTGCATATCCTTTGCCCGTAGAATGGTAGTGTTGTGGTTGTGGAATGAAGATAAGACTTGTAACAGTGCAGTGTGTAGTGAGTATTTGTTTAGACTATTATGCACAGAGCAATTTGACACTGGTGCTATTTGAATTGATTGCATAGTACTAATGAAGCTAATTTTGTCAAAGTACAAAGCTTATGGCTCATTTATGATTCTGAAATGCTCTAATTTCATAATCCAAAGAAAATGGTGAATTTCTGTTTTAATAATCTAGATGTGCTAATTAACTTTGAATGACTTCTTAAATATTGAATTGTTCTAAATAACTATTTGATATTTCTTTATTTAAATTGTGAGCCTCAATATCTCCATTTTAGTTAATTTACGTTTCGTTTTTTTCCTGCTTCTTCCCCTTCTTGGGTGACTCATTTTTAAAGCACAACGTTGGTTTTGAAAAGCATATGTTAGTGATTCAAACCCCAGATTTCTGTATACTTTTCAGTAATATGTAACAGTACCCAAAACAGTCATGTGGCTTGTGAATCATTTGGAAAGCCAAAAGGTTGCTAAACTGCTTGCTGTAGAAAATTTTAAATCAACAATTCTAAAATATTCTTAAATGATCCTTTATTCTATTGTGCATCAAGGATGTAGAACAAGGATATGAACCAAAATGAATAAAATCCTCACATAAATCAATTCTGCATACATATTGTAAACAGTGACTGATACTAAGAATATTCGCCCACAAATATACAGTCAATTCACTTTACAGTATATTCTGTAAACACGTTGGACGTCTAGAAGACGTGGCTATACTAAGATTATTATTATTATTATTATGATTTGCTGGGCTGCTATGTAATCTTGATGTTCTGAATGTTCTAAATCACTCAAGCTTGTTTCTAATTCTGACAGCACTTTAACCCTGCGATTAGCGTTCCTGACTCATTTTGATAGTCTTGGATTCTGGATGACTAACTACACTTTTTTCAGTTTTGAATATGTTGCAGCCTTGTAATATTTTCTGCAACCACCTTTTTCTTACAAATCTTTGGTTCACTTGAAAAAGAAACGACTATCACCAATAATGCGCATGTGTTTGGGTGGGGGGTATATGACTGGATCAGTTGCACATTGACTCAAAGATATTTCCCTCCCTTCCCCCACGCCCATGATCTATTAAGATTTAAAATCTTTGGTGTTCTGTTTTATATTGTTTTCAGTCCAGTATGAATTGGAATTGGAATCAAGCTTTTGTGAATTGTGTTGGAGACTTGTTGCTCACACCATCAAGAGGGTGTAGTTTTGGGAACCATATGAAAATTAGAAAACTAGCAGTGCCCCCCCCCCCCTCCCCCAGGTACATTATGAGATCAAACGCAGTTTTAAGTATTTAAAATATATTTTTTTAAAAAGCTGGTTGGTTGAATGACTGGTTCTCAGTATTTTTTAAAAAAAGTCAAACACCTGAATTCAGAGTTCAGTGCGTGGTTGTTAAGTTGGTAATTCAGCTACTCGGAGTTCAAAGGTTTGGGAGGTTTAAAGAGGATTTGGTTTATAATTAATGGTACCTGATTACACTGTGACTTCAATGTGATGTTGACTTCAAGTCCATAAATAGAATGAAGCAGTTTTCAAGAATGATCTTGAAAACAACTCTAATTCAATAAATTGAACTGTAGCTACTACAAGCCTTTTATCTATAGCATGTGTGCGTGGTGTATTGACCTCCTTTATATGTAAGGGGGAGGGGTTAAGGGATGCGTTTGATTAAATGTACAACTGATCCAGTTATTTTTTTCCATGGCATTCTTGCCGATTATAGTCGTCTCTTTTTGCATTGTTCTAAACCTGACCGTAAACTTAAAACACCCAGAATTTATTTTAGTTCTCTCTGACCATTCCATTACTATTTTGTACCTAAGGTTTTGAAATGTAGTGCTGTGCGTGGACCCTTATTGACTGTATTCTGCCTCGTTAGTGTTGAGTCTGAATTCAAAATAAAGCAAATTTATGTGGCTAAGTTTATTTCTGATACTTTATACGTCAGGATGTGTGCATTTAGCTGGCTTTGACAAGTAGTAATTGGTGGTTGTTTCCTGGCAGACTGGAAGAAAAAACTATCTTTTTCCTGTGAAGGTTGTATCCCAATGAAGATGAGTTATCTTAAAGCCAAAGGAAGTTTAAAAATAATAATTACTTGTACCTTAAGCTTGTTTAACGATGACGCATCCAAAAGAATCCAGCTGGTTAAAAACAGCCTTGGGAATGTTTTCCAGAAAGTTAGAAATCAAGTATGGAATGATAAGGCTTCATATTTTATATTTTTAATACTGAATTGTTTTATGGAATTATATCCTTGGAACACAAATCTTTCTTAATTCAAGGTACAAATGCAACAAAGCATCTAACCAGTCATATTGAGTTAGTATAAAGTGATTTCAATAAACTCATTGAGGTAGTCAAATGACTGTAAACCTGAAAATACCTTTCTGGAATCCTTGGCAAGCAGGACAAGGAAACTGGTTGTCAACTTTGTTCCCTCATTCACAGCAATCACTCTTTTTTTAAAAAAAGGTTTGTTCCATTTATTATAAACTATTCTTGCCGTGCCGTTTTTACTGAAGTTCACTGATGTAATTTGCAAGAAATGGGTCCTTGCTTCACTATTGGTCCTACCCTTTCCATTGCTTTAAAAGGGATGGGTGCTCTAAATTATGTGCAGGAACCAATCTTGAGATTAACTGTAGACTACAGGGCGATCCTGTTGGCATTATGGATCTGCGGGTGTATTGTGAAACAAGTATACCAGAAGCATGAGTTTCTGAGTCATGGACCCAGATGTCCGCGTTATAACTGGGCTGCTTGATATTTGTGATTTACAATGTGTGCAAAACTCAGAATGTCAGCCGTGGCATTGAGCAAAGATAAGGGACTTCCACAGGGATGAAATGAAACTTGATGGAGATCATCATTTCATTAACTATTGTGTAGCCCCTGACAATTCAGAGCAAGAATGAAGAGGCCTCCATAGCAGATGGTCTGTCCTTTTATCCCTATAACTATAATGCTAGGAGACATGAATAAACATAATGGAGAAAAATATGCGTTTTTAAAACCATGAAGCCTCTGTTGCCTTCTAGTGATTAGTTTAATTAACTTCATATGCAATGGTTAATTAGTAATTCTGTTTTGATAGGTTGACAGTCATTGTACGTGGTTTTGGTTTGACATCTTAATATTCTATTCAACTTCTGAGATTTTGTCCTGGGGAATGTATGGTTTAAGTTGGGGGGGGAAGGGGAGGAAAGAAGAAAAAATGCTTTGTTACTTGAAGGTTTAACCATGCTATTTTTTTTTCTTCCTTATTTAGAAAGTGAGTGATCAAAAATGAATAAGTTACGACAGAGCTTCAGACGCAAGAAAGACATCTACGTTCCAGAATCGAGCCGGCCACATCAGTGGCAAACGGATGAAGAAGCAGTCCGCATTGGAAAGTGTAGTTTCCAGGTTAAGGTAATGTCACTCCAGAGTATTTACCTGTAGGTTTGGGTGGGGAAAGTGGGAGATGACCTGGAGAAGAATTTACATAGATTTACAGACTGTACAGCACAGATAGGCCATTTTGCCCAACCAGTTTGACTGTGTTTATGCTGCCCATGAGTTTCCACTCACCCTTTACTCCTATTCTCATCCCCTCACGTGTATACCTAACTCCTACTCTTTGCTCTTAGATTTCTAATCATTCTTTAATCCATTCTGGCACCTCTCATGGCTACACATACACTGACTTAAGTTGTGTGAGTCTCTTGTGTCGTGACAATTTATCACCCACCCCAACTGGCCTTTTTATGGCCTTATCTACAAGTGTTGCTACTTTTAGAAATTTGTAGGTCTAACGTGTCTCCCCCCCTCAAATCCTTTAGTTCCGCACTGAAGGCAATTTCATTGAGAAAGATTTCCTAATTTGCTGAATGGAATGATGCAGCAATACTTTAATTCCAGTGTGATATTTAATGCTGGTGGAAAATCTTCTTTTTCACAGCAAGATTTTAAAACTGTATCTGCAATGAGATTGGTGCGCTTACACCACAGAAGCTAGCACCAAGTCTGTGCTATAAATCACCCAAACTTTGCTGAATAGAAATTTCAGGTATTTAAATTTAAAGAAATTTCTGATGTTACCGCTATCTTTGGATCTCCCTCCCCCCTCACCACCATGTAAATTGTTCAGTATTGTTGTAGCATTTAATTGGTACACTTACTGTAAATTGTAGAAAGAGTTGCTTTCACAGGCACATTTATGCCAAACCTGAATGTTGATATCTTCTAAATTATATTGTCTATTTAAGCTAATTTACTTGTTAAAAATATCTGCTTTCATAGAATTGTACAGCACAAAAAGAGGCCATTCGGCCCATCGAGTTTGTGCCGGCTCTTTGAATAGAGCAATTAATGTCAATCCCACTCCCCAACCCTTTCCCGATAACCCTGCAAACCCGTCCTCCTCAAATACCCGTCCACCACGTTTTTAAAAGTAGTTATCAAATCGGCCTCGACCACCCTTTCAGGCAATGCGTTCCAGATTCAAACAACTCGCTGCGTGAAAAAATTTCTTCTCACCTCCCCTCTGCTTCTTTTAGATACAATTTTGAATCTGTGACCTCGAGTCACCGACACACCCACCAGCAGAAACAGTTTTTCCCTTTCTAACCTATCAAATCCCCTCATGATTTTGAAGACCTCTATTGGGTCTCCTCATAACCTTCTCTGCTCAAATGAGAATAATCCCAGCCTCCCTAGCCTTTCCTCATAATCAAGGTCCCTCATTCCTGGTACCATCCTCGTAAATCTCCTCTGTACCCTTTCCAATGCCTTAACATCCTTCCTATAGTGTGGTGACCAGAACTGGGCGCAGTATTCTAACTGAGGCCTAACCAGTGTTTTATATAGGTTAATCATAACCTCCTGACTCTTGTACTCTATACCCCTATTTATAAAGCCTAGTATCCCATATGCCCCTTTTACAGCTTTATCTACCTGTCCTGCCACCTTCAAAGATTCATTTACCTGCACCCCCAGATCTCTCTGTTCTTTTACCCCCCTTAAGATTGTATTACCAAACCTATATTGCCTCCCCTCATTCTTTCTACCAAAATGCATTACCTCGCATTTCTCTGCATTGAAACTCATCTGCCATGTGTCTGCCCATTTTACCATTCTGTCTATGTCTTCCTGCAGTTGGCTCCTATCCTTCTCACTGTTTACTACCCTACCTAACTTTGTGTCGTCCGCAAACTTGGAAATGGTACTTGCTATACCCAAGTCCAGATCATTTATGTATATTAAGAAGAGCGGTGGTCCTAATACCGATCCCTGGGGAACGCCACTGTTCACTTACCTCCAGTCAGAAAAGCAGCCATTCACCACAACTCTCTGCTTTCTGTCTCCCAGCCAGTTCTGGTTCCATGCTGCCACTGTCCCTTTTATACCATGGGCTTTTATCTTTCTTACAAGTCTTTCATGTGGCACTTTGTCAAATGTCTTTTGAAAGTCCATATAAACTACATCAACTGCACTATCTTTATCCACCCTCTCCGTTACCTCATCTAAAAATTCTATTCGATTTGTTAGACAAGATTTGCCTTTAACAAATCCATGTTGGCTGTCCCTAATTAACCCATATTCTTCTAAGTGAAGATTTATTCTGTCCCGGATTATAGTCTCCAGGAGTTTCCCCGCTACTGATGTTAGGCTGACTGACCTGTAGTTCCCAGGTTTATCCTTCTGTCCTTTTTGTACAGGGGAGTCACATTAGCCACTCTCCAGTCCTCTGGCACCACTCCTGTGTCCAACGGAGATTGAAAAATTGTAGCCAAAGCCTCCGCTATTTGTACCCGGACCGGGTTACTTATCTACCTTCAGCGCAGTCAACCTTTTCAGTACTTCCTCTCTGTTTATACTTATCCTATCCATTTCCACTACCCTCTCCTCCGATACTGCGGCATTTGGTGTATCCACTTCTTTTGTGAAGATAGATGCAAAGTACTCATTCAGCACATCAGCCATGCCCCCTGCCTCCATAACAAGATTTCCCCATTGGTCCTTAATTGGCCCAACCCTATCTTTGACTAGCCTTTTTTTCTTGATATGCTTTATTTATATGTGGCATTAAACTATTTAATGGCTGGTAACCAGAGCATCAGTTAGATAATTTATCACGTCTTGTAAAACACTGTAATTTTTGTGCGAGTATCAATAAATAATATTTACGTTTGACATAGCAAATGTTGGAAGGATGTCATAAAGTGCTTCACAGGATATACTGTACAGTAAAGACTATTATGTGGGTGAACCTGACAGCCAATGTGCATACAGTAGTGTTCCACAAACATCTCAAGCAAATGGCCAATATTATTAGGAATTGGTGGCCAAGATACTTGGAATTTCTCCTGATGAAACACAGAGAAACTGTAGCAACTGTATTTTGTAGGTGCATGCAGCAGCCAACTTGCTTGCAGCAATTTCCCCCAAGCAGCAGTCATGAAGTGAATAGACAATTTTATCTGGGGAATAATTGGCCAGGACACTCAGAGAAATTCCCTTTGCTTTTTGACCTCAATTTAGCATGTCATCTGAAGGATGGAATCTTCAACAGTGCACCACCAGTACTGTATTGGGAATGTCAGTCTAGATTTTCTGGGTATGTGCCAAGGGATTAGGGCCCAAGGTGGGGGGGTGGGATCAGAGAGGGATGGTCGAAGAGGAGAGTCTTGAGGCATGCCTTGAAGGAGCCAAGGGAGGGAGCGAGGCAAAGTGAATGTGGGATGGAGTTCCAGAGGGTAGGGCAGAGAGGCTGAAGCCCAACTGTCGATTGGTGGGGTGGGCCGGGGGACATGGAGCAGCCCGGAGCCTGCCAATTGACAAAAGACTAGTTATATTGCTGCGTCAGTTTCATCCAACTCTGAAAGCTTGTAATCAGCCAGACTTTTTTTTTGGAAAAAGGCACTCTGCAGCAAAAAAGTGAATCTGAGTAAATATAAATTTTATAACTTGTTGAGAAACTTCTTTTCATCAAATTTTTAAATGTAACTGTTTAAGTGTGATGAAAATATGACTGCTTTCACTCTAGTCATAAAGAAACTGAAAACTCAGGAAGGAAATCTCTCCTTCCTGTGTACTGAAGGGAACATCAGTAATGGAATGGAATTGTGAGTGAGTCATGAGTTGCACATCATCCTTTGCTCTGCAAAGTAATCTATTATCTATGTTTAGGAATGCATTCTACTGTATTTACATGTTTCAGAGATCATGTTTTTTAATCTGCAGATTCCCTTATGGGACACCACACAGTAACATGCATAGTATTATGGGTGATGTGAAATGAACGCATACACATATTATGTGTGTGTGTGAGAAATACATGTGTGTGTTTGGATCCTTTCCAGTTTTCTCTGCTTTGTGTCCAAATTCGTACCACTGAACTCGTTGTTTTCATCATTTGGAAGGTCGAAATGATCTCAACTATAATTGTGGTGAAGGCGTTTCTTTGCTCTGTAGAGTTTGAAGCAGAGAGTTGATTGAGAAGTGTTTCATGCACAAGATTTGTTTGGATTTACTTTATGATTTTTTTTAATGAAGGTACAGGGACCCTACTGAGTGAGACAGATATTGATCTTTCTACTCCTCTTGCCAAACACTGATTCCAATATTATCATCTTGTCCCATAATTTGAATTGGTTTTGTCCCACAATTTGATCTTGATGAACCAATTTAATCAGCAAGGCAAAGTGGCCTCAGACCTCGACCACTGCTGCTTCATTGTTTGTTGCGGGTTGTCTGACTGAAATTCCCACCACTTACCCGCGTAACATGCCTATGGTATCTTGGGTGTGGAATTGCATTCTAGGACTGAGGCATAGTATTTTAGAGTTCTGTTGTTAGTGAATTTTTATGTTCATTCCTCTTTATTTTTGTATACTTTCTGTTATGCAAGATACTTTGTTTTAATATGCTGCGACCCACTTTCCCTCTCCAGCGAATGATCAGTATGCAATATTGTATTGAACCCAAAACTGAATTGCCATAGTGCAATCGCCAAATGTGTAACTGATACCTCATTATAAGCCGTAGAGCATCAATTGTGTAAACATGCTGGGAAGCCACAGAAAGAGGAATGTGGGAGGGGGAAGAAACTCGCATTGTAATAGGATTTAAACCTGGTACTCTAAGCATTCAGGTCATTACAGCAGTCAGCAGTAATATTGTTGGCAATGCATCATATCTCTGCAATCATGCTACTGTGCATCTGGTGCACGTTCTGTAATAAATCAAACCATTTTTAAACCATTGCATTGCTGAACATGAGCACATTACCAACTAGCAGCACTGTCATTTCTGAAGCTTGTATTCTATCAACATTTTGAGTGAACCATGGGAAAAGCATGGGAATTTGTTCTCACTGAATTATGCATTGCACTCTAAAACATTAGTTTATGTAACGGCTGACATAATAG